AAAATGCGTGTGTGAAGGCCTAAGCAAAATCTCAAGTAACTTTACTTTGTATCTCATTAAACTCGAAATTTAATGTTGAAACGATTCACGAAACTTTCAATCAAGTGACTTGAAAACCATCCTTAAAACCGACTTAGCAAACTTGCGGTTTCTAGGCTTTAAGACAATCATTCTTATACGTTGCGTGGGAAAATAGGCTTATGTAAACCTGTAGTAAAACAGATAGGTTGTGTGAAGCTTTCTTTTGCTTGAAGAACTTAAAATTTACTAGTCTTTAAATATTTCTTAGCTATTTGGCAATTTCATTGCGATACTTTGTCACTGTAACCCAGAGCAACTTTTCGCGTGTTACCAGCCCTCACTTACGACCTAACAAGAAACTGTTAACCGCTTTTTATTCGTCTCAAAAGTTAAATTACTGCGGCCACCTTTTAATAAAAAACGACGCACGGGGATTGGCAATTAATCGACTTGCGACGTTGAGTTGAGTTTGAGTTTAGTCATTTCGTCTAACCAAGAGAGAATGATCTTGGTTTGACTAATGCCTATTTGCTACAGAATTTTCTCTCACATTTAATTTAATTAACAATTAATGATATACCGATCATGAATCACGAATAGATTTTTGGCGTAAGGGCTCTTGTAACAGCAGGTTCTTTTTTTTTTTTTTGAGACATAAAGTCCTAACTGCTGACCTCACCAAAATGGTTTGAATTGTTGTTCGTTGTTTTGTTGACGTCAATAGTTATATCACCTGAAAGAGCTTTTGAATGAGCCCGCCTGTAAAACACTGTAGACCGTTTTTTGCTATGAGACGTGGGACTACAAACAAATAACTTTACAGGTGCACCCCCCGAAGCCATGCATAGCAGGCGCTTGGAAGTACTCTAGTTTACAAATTGGACATATTATTATTTCTTCAGGTTTTTTAATATATAGATTTAGCCACAGCTAAAAGCGAAGCTCCCATTGATAAATTTATAACTTAAATCAAACAATAATTTTGTATTCCACAAATCAGTTAACTTAAGGGCACATTCATTACCCTGCGAGCAGAGGCTACATTTTCGCGGTATGAGCTGGCGTGCGAAAAGTAGCCTCTGCCGACAACCGTTCAATTTTCTATCGTGCATGCGCAAAATTCGTCACGCGATTCGCAAGCAACTGGTTCGTCAAATCTGCGTGAGTTTCGCGGGAATCAAACTTGCGAAAACTACCTGCGAACTACTCTCCTCGAGCTTCTGTTTTGTTTTTCTGCTTCGTCCCTTCTGGTTTTAACTATTTTAGCCGCAAAATTTCCACGGATCGTCTTTTTTAGGAAAGTATTTTTATGCTATCAACTGTAGTAAGTTCTGTCTGTTTTGCGAGAAGCACATTTTTCCGGCTTTAATATTACCTATTTATAGTTGAGCTCAAAGTGAAAAATAAAATTCGCCGACAACGCTACGCAGAAGTGATGTTTGAAATAAATTGGATGCTGTAGTCTCACGATTGTGTTTTAAACTAATGTTATGAATGAACATAGACAAAACAGTAGTCAAAAAAATTCTTTATCGAAAAATTTTATTCGACAACCCATAATTTTATCCTTAAAAGCAATTCGCGTAATACTAACTGGATTGTGGATCATTTCACGCAAGTAAAAGCTGCCGAAGACATCAAATGTCAACGCCAAAATCCGTCTCAAGTCGTATAAAACATCTATGAAACAACTATAAATACTTAAATTTCCATTTAAAAACGGAACTTCCTTGACCATTGATGTGCAAGTTGTACCTGAAAATTCTTTAAAAACTTTGCCGCCTTGGTTTCTTTTCAGAACAGGAGAAGCTTTCCACCGTGAAGAAACCAACCAGGTTGAAGTCCTTGAGGGCGAATCAGTGTTCAGCCAAAAGCTTTTTTTCTACTTTTTCCACCAAAAGAAAACTAATCGATGATTCTTTTGAACATGCCGGTTCCCATTTGTGTCTTAAAACAGTGCATTTAGCCTTGCATTGAGAGGCGACACAACAAAAATCACCGCAGTATCCATTTTCTTTTCCTGGCAAACAAGAACTACCATAATGATAAATTAACGATCTTTACACGGTCCCGTAAGAAGCACCGGCAGCAGCTTGTTTTGGTATTCCGACAGCTTTAAAATACAGAGCTTATTCAAGTTGTTGACGAAGCTCTTTTAAACACATGAACAGGGATGTTTGAAGTTGTTTTTGTTGCTACGTTCGAGCTACGTTGATCCGCGTTCGTATGCGAGAATTTGGCGCGAAGGAATGCATGAAGGCGCAGTAATGGTCAGCGTTCATTCGCTGACACAAGACTCACGCAATGCTCTAAACCGGTCAAGAACAAGAAAAAACCCGTTTCTTTAATTTATTCGTCCAGTTTTCTGGACGGATTTGAACGGTTGTCGGCAGAGGCTACTTTTCGCACGCCAGCTCATACCGCGAAAATGTAGCCTCTGCTCGCAGGGTACACATTCATGTGACTTTTGAGGGAAAAGCTAAGTGATTTTGGAGCGAAACAAATCTTGTATCGAGTTGATATAGCCTTATATGTACACCCAAAAAATAGTCTTCGGTCACATTTAAGAGCAATAATGGCTCTTGATCACAGTACATAAGGCGTGGAAAACAAATTCTTGGAAAATAAATCAGGCCGAATGTTTTGCGTTCGACAAGTTTACAAATTCTTGCCAATAAATCTGGGTGCGTGCAAACCATTCTTTTTTTTTTTTTTTATACACCACATCTGAGGAGAAAGAGTACTATGAGGCGCTGTTTTTATCATACAGACCTCGGTACAAAATGCAGTATTTCACAATTTTTCAATACTCAGGACCATCGAAGCACGCGTGGACTTTTAATTAGCGAAACCGTTCAAAAAATGTCCAAAATCACCTATACGGCCAGCCAGTTCAAACTTTTGACAAGCGCCAAATTTGCGAAGAAATTTTAAAAGAGTTACGCTTCAACGTGATAAAGAATTTGTTTTTTATTAATGGTTTTATAACGATGTGTAATCTTAAAAAGCGTTTGATACGCTCGGCATTTTGAGTACTCCTGCAAGCGATGTTTATGAACGCCTGAAAACAAACGGCAAAGCGATGAAAATTACACTTTTGAGAATACCAACAATCAATAAAGAAATATAATTCGGTAGAACATTTACAGAGACAACAATTTTCATTCACGAAAACAAATGAGTATTTAAGTGTCTCTAAGAATCCTCAAGTCTTTACTAGTAAGCTTAAAGATTAAGTTTATGTCTTAAGCCGCCGGTTTCCCGGTGTTTGCCTTTTTCAAAGATGAACTCACGACAAGAAAATCGCTCAAAGCTTTCCTTCTACAGCCAAAATTATAACTAAATATTCTTCAGAAAGTTTTTTCTTTCTATTTACGGTGAATTAATATCGACTAAAGGCTTTTTAAAGTTCTGTAAGCTTAAGCTTATATCAAACCTCATACTAGGTCAGATCAGTATCTCAGTCAAATCTTAATACAAACGTGCATAAACTAGCTTCATAAACTGCGCCGCTGGACTTCATGAAATTAGATATAAATACAATAATTACTCAGGCTTACCATATTTCGAGATGCAGCTCCGACAGCTATCAAGTAAGGCAAGGATCGCTTGAGCCTTCATTCTCGTACGCATCCAGCAAGATGAAAAACAAAAACGATGCCATCTGAACTCGGATTATCGGCTTTGAAAAGCGACTCATTTCTCAACGAAAAACCCAATAAACAAACCAGCCATGAATAAGAGAATACTCTTGATAGCAGCTGTATTTCATTTTTTACATCCAGTGGAAAAAGACAGTTAAAAACATCACAAGTTGACTCAAAACTCTGTCAGCTTCAGCTGTCAAAGTAAACAACTTTCAAGATGCTGCATAAATTTTATGCATGAACTCACCTGTCAAATTTTAACCAATCAGAGCATAAAAATTGCACGTGGAGCGTGACCAACAGGTTAGTCAGGGAGCAAGTGTCGTAAAATTAAGTCCCGTGGGAAATTAATGCTTAAAGCAAGCCACTGGTCTAGATATGTTGAGGGGACGTTAGTGAACATGAAGTATGTTGTCGGCAACTTTGTGACCCGCACCGGCACGATTCGCGGGGGATTAAAACACGTCTCATACAATATCAGCATGGAAACGAGGCTACATCTTAAATCGTCTTTATTCCCTCTTATATGTCAATATTTCATCACCAAATTGTAAGAATAGCTTTACTCTAGCATTACACACACTTTTAGCTGGAAATTGTAATCACGTGACCTAAAGCATGAAAACGAGGCTAAATCCAAAATGTGCCCTTTTTTCGTAAATTGTCTCAAAATATCACTACAAAAGTAAGTTATAATGAAGAAGCAACATTTCATAGACTTTCTCACGTCAAAGACTGAAACCTTGTACCACTTTGTCACTTGATTAAAAACATGAAAAAGAGGCTATATCTCCTTTCATCAATGATTTAAAAATTACATTTTTCATAAACTCAGTTTTTCTTGTGTTGTGTTCTAAAACAATACAATAAAATGAAGCCATATGAAATAATAACTATTTTCTAAGCTTATTGGCTCTTAAACTAAGAATTTGATGAAATAATAACCACAAGCTTGAAAACGTGGCTCTCGTGGTCAGCGGTTTTTTGCAGCAAAATACAGGTCCGCCATTTTAACTTGCAGTTGAAATAGAGAAGACCGATGGTCTTTTCGTTTGAGTTTTTTTGATGGATATCGACCCTGATCCTGACCCTGACAAAGAACAAAAAGCAGATCTTAGTTTATGTATTATATGTCAAGAAAAAAATGATGAAGATCTAGTTGAAAAGCCGAATTCACATGAAAAAACATTGGAGTCGATACAGGAGTGGGCCACGTATGGTGAGCGAAAGTATGTAAGAAGTCGTGACTAGCTATCCTTCTACTCTCCGGAGAATCTAAAGGAAAAATCATCATGGCACAGAAGTTGCTATAAGAATACAGTACATTCTGGG